TCTAAGTGTACTCTTATTAACTGTTGGCTTGTGTAAAGAATCCTACTCATGATAGTCTCTTTCTTTGTTTTGCTTCTTGTCAGCTGTTCATTCTCCCTATGAGTGACTATATTTCAAGTTATATAAATCAGTGGCCTAGTGTGTATATTCTACCACGTAGGAAGTTGATGAACTAATTGAAAAGTTTTTTGTCTGCTCTCAAATTAACAATTCACTTTGCCCTTATATTCCTGTAGCTCACACATGTGCTAAATTCCCAGTTTCAGCAACAGATGTCTCCCACGAGCTGCTGTTAGGCTTTGCTAAGATCTGCCTAGGACAGTGGTTAGCAAACCGCGGCTCGCGAGAGCCACATGTGGCTCTTTGGCCCCGTGGCATGGACCACGAAGTTTCAATCGCACTGTACGTGCGTGCCCGCATGTGGTATTCTGTGGAAGAGCCACCCTCAAGGGGCCAGTTTGCCGACCACTGACCTAGGATATAGGATAGTCAGATCCAGCTAAGGAGTTGTTTATGTGCTCTTTATTTCAAAGGGATCATTTTGAGTTTTCTTTTCATAATATGATTCTTATAAGAAGTAGAAACTGAAAAAAAGACTTTAGAGATGGTTTTGTCTAAAACTTCATAAATGAAGGTAATTAAATGTAATCAATTTATCTAAGGAGCTACAGTTAAAACAATTTTTCTAAATTTAAGATTAGTACCATTTCCTAGGAATGAGAATTTTTAATTTTTCCAGTGGAAACTTAGAAGTTAACCAATATTCTCATTTTTTAAAAGAGAAAGAAATTGAATTCCAAAATAGTTAAAATTTCCTATTATTATAGAGCTAAATGATAGAACTGAAATTCAAAACAGGTTTCATGATAAACCAGTGCTTTCTCTACCATGCCTTTTTGTTAGAACACTATCTTCCTAAATGGCTCTGAGCGTGTTTATTCTCAAATTTCCTCATTAATATTTAGAAAGTTTCTGTCCTGTCTTTTAAGAATAATAAATGTTTTCTGACTTGTCATCATTTACTCTCTTAGTGTGTTCCATTTTATCATTTCTTCCCTGGTAGATGTCATTTTTTAAATAACTGCAGACATTTGGCCTTCGTGAACCATGTTTTGAGGATTTATTTCTTCTAATTCTTTTAATTTTGTCTTTAGAGTGTACTTATTGAACAGACCATTTCAAACATAGCAGTAAATAATGTATTTGTATTTCAGCAACTAGTATGAAATTGTCTCTGTGGGAACAAAAAATTCTCATGTATATTATTTCCTTTATTCTCAGGATATTCCAAAGAATTGTAGTATTTTCACTCTTTCTTTCTCCTGAGTTTGTGGGTTATTTGTTCATAATGTATATGATAAAAATAGACAACTAAATTGAAAGGCATTCTTGTCAGATTGAAATGAGCCTAATACATTTTTTATATAATAATTAGGTAATTGGTGGTCCCATTGTTACCAGTCTAGCAGCAAGATTTTATTATTATAGCAAGTCTTTATTATTATAGCAAGATTTTATTATTATAGCAAATTGAAAAAAATTTGCTATGAAGGTGAATAAGTTAATTGATCTGACATAGACCTTAAAATGAAATGATCTTGGAGGTCCTTGGTCATCTTTGCTGCTACTTCCACTGTTACAGTTTGCAACTAAATCTTAGTGTATATATTAAAATGTTTTCAGATATGGATGGATCTTGTTAGGTGTGAGAGAGATTCTTTGTGCAGGTTATCTTTTAGGCCACAAAAATAGGTTCCTTGAATGTAAAAATGTTGCATCATTATAGATCCTTAGAATTTTAGGGAACCCTAGCAATCAACTAGTTAGCACCAAATGCATGAATTACCTTTATAATATCTTTATGTACATTTGTATATCAACTTGATACATATTTTTGGTATGCTGTTCTCTTTTTCTGCCTCAGTATCTTTGTTTTTATGCTCTGGGTGCTATAACTTTCTTTCTTTTTTCTTCTTTCTTTTTTCTACACCTTTGTTTTTCTTCTCCATTAATTAATAAATATGGAATAGAATGAAAGTTTTTCTTTTTTCAAAATTATTCTTTTTTAAAAAAAATTAAATCTCTATTGTTCAGATTATTACATTAGTTACTCTTTTTCCCACCATAACTCCCCTCCACCCAGTTCCCACCCCACCCTCCGCCCTCACTCCCCACCCACTGCCCGATTATTGTCCAATCTCTTCCCTCACCCCCCCTTCCTCCCCCCCCAAGAATAGTTAGTCCATTCCCTTTCTCTGTCCCTGCTTCTATTACAATCACCAGTTCATACTGTTCATCAGATTATTTATTCACTTGGTTTTTAA